ACGTAGTTTAAATATAGATTATCCAGAAATCATGAGAGCAAATGTACAAGTCATATATATTACCAACGTTCGATTACTGTTCGCACCTTTAGGATAACTGTACTAAAGAACAAGAAAAACTTGTCGAAAATCTACATTTAGACGCACTGCGGACGATTTGCGGGGCAGTTAGAGGAACAAGTCATGTTTTAATATATAAGGAAACTAACTCTATGCCCCTAGTTGACCGTAGACAAATTAGCAAGTTATCATTATTTTACAAAATGGTTCATCATATGACACCAGTTTATTTAATTGATCTACTGCCCGAAAAAGTATCACAGTTTAGTGACCATAGATTAAGAAACAGTAATAACATTCAAACTATAAGATGTCGTAGTGATTTGTATAGCAACTCGTTACCTGATACAATACGACAATGGAATGATTTGCCTGAGAATATGTACGATATTGAAACCATAGGCCAATTCAAAAATATCATCAAAACCACCCAATTTTAATATATTTGATAAAAACTTTGGTACACGTTTTTGCCAAATTATCCGCTCACGCCTCAGACTTGGGTGCAGCAATTTGAAAGCGCACGTGTTTGAACGGCACATTTCAGTTGATCCATTCTGTTCCTGTGGTCACCCCTATGAAGATACTTTATATTACTTCTTTCCTTGTCCTAATTATTCTAACATCAGACATCGCATGTATTTTTATGAACATGGATATAATTTAAATTCTGTCCTAAATGGTAATCCAAGCAAAAATGTACCTGTAAATTCTTTCATACTACAATCTGTTATCAATGAAATGGACAGGTATTCAAATAAGCCATTACGGCTTGGTTACCAATCCTAGTTCAATGTATTTTGAATAAAATATGTTTACACTAATGAGTGCTACGTTTCGGTGTAGGTATTAACACCGTTATCAAGCAAGTGGTACAAAGAGTTGTAACATGGAAAATATATACATAGCTGCATAGTGTGTATATACAATTGACTAGTTTGATATACACTCATACTGACCAATATCTCCACTTCACCTGCAGGTTAAGAAATGCATAATTTCCACCCTTAACCGAAGAGCCAAGAACATCTGCTCGACAACAGAAGCCCTAGAAATCGAACTAAACCACCTCCGCCATGTCTTCATCCATTATAACCAGTACCCCCAGAAGTTAGTCAACAACCTCATCACATCCACCCTCAACCCAAGAGATAAATCAACCCGTCGGCAATCAGCTCCCTTCGTAATAAGTATCCCGTCTGTCCCAGCAGTCAGCCACCAGATAAGACGACTACTTCAGCAGCAAGCAGGTATAGACGTTCTGTTCCAGAAAGGCAAGTCCATCCAAAACCTCCTCCAAGCCACAGGCAAACCCCCATCAACACCTAAAGAAGACCCCACAGGAGTAGTCTACCAGATCAATTGCTAATATGGAGACTCTTATATAGGTACAACGTCCCGCCCTCCCCCACTACGAATTAAAGAACACAAAACTTCAGTCAGGGAAAAAAGACTCCAAATCCGCCATAGCCGACCACACCCAAGCCAACTTTGACTATGCCATCCTTGGGAACAACATCCACATCCTGGAAACCAACCGATCAGACTACAGGATTAGGAAACTCCTTGAAGCCATAAAAATCCAACGTTTCAACCCCAGCATGAACCGGGATCAAGGTTATTTTATCTCCTCAGCCTATCACCACATAATTAAAGATCACCAGTAATCCACCCATACCTCGTCAAGTGGCTTCTATGCCCCCCTTTTGTGTATTGTAATCACAACCAATCAATGTGTACATCAACCTACTCTCTTTAACTCACCATTACCATCTCAGTGTACATCAACTCATCTATTGTATAAACTATATCTGCATTTGTCTGAATCACTATCACTCTGTACATCAACCTACTCTGCTCAAATCACTAATTAACAATCCAATGTATATCAACCTTGTCAATTGTATATACACACTATGCAGCTATGTATATATTCTCCATGTTACAACTCTTTGCATCACTTGCTTGATAACGGTGTTAGTGCCTACACCGAAACGTCGCACTCATTGCAATAAAGAAGTTGACTAATGACTACACAGTTGAACAAATAAGATTAACATATTTCCATCAACATACAAACAACCCTAGTGCTGACATCCTCCTCCCTCAGTGTATTTAATAGTTAACCAAGTGCATTCAGGCTTATCACTTTATGTATATATTAAATGTAATAAGTCCTACTTTGTATTGACATAGGAAATACATACTCATTCACAATCTGCGGACTTTAGTAAGTCGTGGATACAATATTATACATGATGTTTAAAGGTTAAGGGATATTTATAATTTCTTTATGTGTGAACATGAGTCCTCATATTCAACTGAATGCTAAAACAATCGCTTTCCTTCTTTTCCAGTTTCTACAGAATAACAACTTTCTGACATTTGCAAATCAGAAACCCTCACATAAATTGTGGCATCCTGGGGTATTCACTGTGAGAAAGAGTGTTTCAATCTATTCTTCTGGGTCAAAATATTACAAGAATGCATTTGTCTTTTCAGATTCATCGTCAGACTCAGCTGTGTACGATTCAGGATCTTATTCAAAAGTGTATGTGCCAAGAATTATTCCAGCTGATTATGGCACATAAGAAGACTTACAATTTACAAATGTTTTCTCGCATAAGAAAAATAATCATATTTCAAATCCTTGTAAACTTTGAAAGTATTTAGAAAGTTCATCACTTATTGCAATTAAAACGAATGTATCGGAAACATTCAATGAGGTCTGAAATATTAATTAATATGTCGCAGTCAACATGATGAAGGTGCTTGTGCACTCGGCAATATAGGTTGAGCGAATCTTTCAATGGTACAGGTTCATTTGAAATGAAAGCACATAGTAGGTGAATTTCGAGAAACGTGCCTAGATGCGGTAATGGGATGTATTTCCTATTGTATTTGGATAGTTTCAGTTGTGTAAAATCCAGCTTTTGGTTACGTGATTCACAAGGACTCTACGAGGCTTGTAATAATAATGAAATTCAAAACAGACCTGATTCTGTCCTTGAAGACAAATCCAATGAATTTATTTATGGTATCAAATTTTATTGTCCTTGTGACAGCAGTCTTTTCATTATTGTCAGAGCGAATTCAGGCATACTAAGTTCTTTAAATTAATACAAAGCAACATAAAGGCATCTACGAGGCTTGTAACATAATAGATCGAATGTTAACGAGGCGTACTAAGTAAAAGGTTAAGAGGCGTATTGTTTTAGGTATGAATTTGAAGTGTATTGCCTTTAAGTCAGTGCTAAAATACGTAAATAAATCATGAAGTCCAAAGGTGATGGGGAAATTCTCCACAGGTAAATTATTTTCGGGGGAGAAGGAGAGAGGGGGCTGAATTCAGCCACGCCTACCGTTGATGTCCCGAATACAGCGGCTTGACAGGGTATTATGGTTATCAAATAAAAGCGACAGAACCCTTTCCATCACAATAAATCTTTGCTGGAAAAAGAGACCGTTCTATACAATGATTCCGATTATAACATTATTATATGATTATGAATCATTATCAAATAGTGATGATGCCAGTCATTTATGAGACAATGAGCATATCTGCCGCAGCTGTGGCACCTGTCAGTAACACACGCACAGGCAAATCAACATTTCACCTAGAAATACCACCTAAACATATTGCACAAAAGAAGAGACATTTGGGCATTGGGCATCATTATTTATGCAGGGTTTGATTCCAGTTACTGCAAACTAATGATTCCAGTTATAACAATCTAATGATTCCAGTGATAGCAATCTAATGTCTCCAGTTATAGCAATCTAATGATTCCAGTTATTGCAATCTAATGATTCCAGTTATTGCAATCTAATGTCTCCAGTTATAGCAATCTAATGTCTCCAGTTATTGCAAACTAATGATTCCAGTTATTGCAATCTAATGACTCCAGTTATTGCAATCTAATGTCTCCAGTTATTGCAAACTAATGATTCCAGTTATTGCAATCTAATGTCTCCAGTTATTGCAATCTAATGTCTCCAGTTATTGCAATCTAATGATTCCCGTTATTGCAATCTAATGATTCCAGTTATAGCAATCTAATGTCTCCAGTTATTGCAATCTAATGATTCCAGTTATTGCAATCTAATGTCTCCAGTTATTGCAATCTAATGAGTCCCGTTATTGCAATCTAATGTCTCCAGTTATTGCAATCTAATGTCTCCAGTTATTGAAATCTTATGATTCCAGTTATTGCAATCTAATGATTCCAGTTATTGCAATCTAATGATTCCAGTTATAGCAATCTAATGATTCCAGTTATTGCAATCTAATGATTCCAGTTATTGCAATCTAATGTCTCCAGTTATTGCAATCTAATGAGTCCCGTTATTGCAATCTAATGTCTCCAGTTATTGCAATCTTATGTCTCCAGTTATTGAAATCTTATGATTCCAGTTATTGCAATCTAATGATTCCAGTTATAGCAATCTAATGATTCCCGTTATTGCAATCTAATGATTCCCGTTATTGCAATCTTATAGCAATCCCTAATGATTCCAGTTATTGCAATCTAATGTCTCCAGTTATTGCAATCTAATGATTCCAGTTATTGCCTAAGTTATTGCAATCTAATGATTCCAGTTATAGCAATCTAATGATTCCCGTTATTGCAATCTAATGATTCCCGTTATTGCAATCTTATGATTCCAGTTATAGCAATCTAATGATTCCAGTTATTGCAATCTAGGCAAGACAGCTGCCTTTATTAGTTTCTGTTGTCTCTCAGATATATGCAATAGGATCATCACGAGGCATTAGCTGTTCCAGGACCTGGTGTTTGAGACTATTCTCTCATAGGCCACTGTACTGAAACTCGAACTGATATCTCCACTTGAAACCTTCACTCTTAATGGAGCAAGCACAACAATGAATTAATTCTCATATCCCTCCCTTATCTGGCACAGACAGTGTCTACTGATAACGTCACGGACTCTACATAAAGCTGTGATTTCTGGACACTCGTCACAAATCGCAATGTTGTTCCTGTTGTGTAGTGTTGTGTTTCTTGGGACAGTCCTTGGTCAGTACCCGGACGGGGAAGTCTGTGTCTCGGGGGGAGGCATTGAAATCAGAGTCAAGGGTAGGTGGATGTTGATTTATTTCAATTACTAATATCTGGAAGTTGTTTGACTAACATCTAGTCTCTGAAATAAACATATTTATCAGAAAAAGGTTCATAAATGATAATAATAAAATGTAATTCCTGAAACTGGAAATCCCGACCTGCCACATATACTAGACGTGCATGGGCTTTCTTGGATATATTTGTTACAGGGTCTGCATGACAGACCAGGAGTATGTTTGAACAATGACTTTCTTAGCGCAGACGTGGGAAGCCTGTTAAAGGCGCCTGTTAAAGGCGATCCGACTTAGAATTGATCTTCAGCAACCCATGCTTGTAAGAGGAGACTTACGGGATTGGGTGGTCAGGCTCGCTGACTTAGTTGACACATGTCATCGTATCCCAATTGCGTAGATCGATGCTCATGCTGTTAATCACTGGATTATCTGGTCCAGACTTGATTAGTTACAGACTGCCGCCATATAGCTGGACTATTGCTGAGTGCGGCGTTAAACAACTAATAAACCACTCTACTATACTCATCTGTACTTTACTCGAACCTACTCTCCCCAGATTTCAGCGGTCTACAAGAGGTGGGGGTTCATTATGACGTCAACAAGCCCCTAGCCGGTGCAGGAGGAGCTGACAGTAATTATGAGGTTACCAGCAAGCAAGGTAAGGGGTGTACGTAAGCTTAGAGACAATTAGTTGATCTATACCCTATCACTTTAAGGCACAGGATGACGTTATGTAAGCACACAACAGGTTGTCATGTGTCCTGTGCTTGAGAGTAGTTCCAGTATGGATTCCTCTAACTGTAAACCGGGATGTGTTATAAAAGTGAAGAGATCCGAATGTTGAAAGGTAGAAAGCTGTATTTTTATGATTTAAAAAAATAATTAAAAAATACTTTCCACCATGTAGGTTCATACTGGGTGCACAAGAACCCGAACGTCCAAGTGAAGGTCGGGGACACCGTCAACTACTGGTTGTACTTCAAGGTCAACGGACAAGGTCATACCAAGACAGACTTGCACGCCACAGTTGGTATGTTGCAAAGTTCGTTGCTTGTGGATAGAATGGTAAAATATAATTAATACATTTCTAAGTACAGGGGTAATCTGTTATTAATGAGGTTCTCATGTTGTTGTTATATTGTGAATATAAGATATATTTATTCATCACGGTGTCGTAACTGTTGATTTCTGAATACTGTGGGATATGTTTGCAAAAAATCATAAAATGCTTAAATGAGATCCTTATATTTGTCAGGATTAAGTTGGCGAAATATGAAACGAATGAGCATGTTTTGTAGCTAGGCGACACGGTTGACAGGATCCGTTGTGGTTCTATTCCCAGATTCAAGGATTATGATCGTTGAGATGCTGACACTTTCACCAACATATCAAACTTTAAATATATTTCGATTTGCGCTTTCCATCAAAGAACGGTGGTTTAAATGAAATACTGAAGAAAGAGGCTCACTCTCTCACTCACTCCAACAGGAAGCTCCTGTAGCGGCGGAGGTAACTCGGGCACTCAAACGGGCACAGGCTCACACACAGGCACAGGCACAGGCTCCCACACAGGCACTCATTCAGGGACAGGATCTGGTAACCTCGGTAACATGAAACTCATCTTCAGTGACGACTTCAGTTCCGGCACCATCGACAACAGCAAGTGGAAGCACGAGGTGTCCGCGTTCGGTGGAGGGTAGGTCACGCAGTAGTAATCGGTATTTCATCTTCAGAGCCATGTCTAAAAACAGTAACAGTTGTCCGTTGAGTATACTATATTCTATTTATATATGAGTCCTTCTTAGAAAGCTGCATGAAAGTTACCTCTGATGTAACGTATAACCTATGTGATCCATGAACAGTCTGTGTCACTGAACGAACCTTTGTCACTGAACGAACCTGGGTCACTGAACGAACCTGGGTCACTGAACGAATCTGTGCCACTGAACGAACCTTTGTCACCGAACGAATCTGTGTCAGTGAACGAACTTTTGTTACTGAGCGAACCTTTATGACTGAACGAACCTTTGTCACTACACGAACCTTTGTTACTGAACGAATCTGTGTCACTGAACGAACCTTTGTCACTGAACGAACGTGGGTCACTGAACGAACCTTTGTTACTGTCTTAATGAACCTGTCATATTGTACGAATCGATGTGCCTGTATGAACCTGATATGCTGTACGAACCATTGCTACTGGACGAATCTGTTACAGTACGAACGTGTATCGCTGTCCGAGCCATTGCAACTGTATCAATCTGTGTTACTTTATGAGAGTGTTGTATTGTACGAACCTGTGTTACTGTACGTAACTGTGTAGTCTCTCGTACAGACCCTGAAGCAAATATATCCAAGAAAGCCCACACAAGTCTGAAAATGTTAGTCTAGATTTCCTCGAAGAAAGTCTCAGGGCTCCTTTTCATTATATATATTTTTTTTTTACTATGAACATTTTTCAGTAAAATATGTTCATTTCAGAGACTAGTTGTTAGTCTACTGTGTCACATATGAACTGTGTTACGAGTCATAACATTATGCAACAACTAGAAGTTTCAATTCCAGCCTTCAACATTACGACCTTAATTTGCCTAAAACCACTCACTGATAACTCACAAAGACTAGCCTACATGTCTAACTGTTGTCTTGTTTCGCCAGAACTGGGAGTTCAGATCTACACGCCAGATAAGGAGAACAGCTACATCAAGAACGGCGTCCTCTACTTGAAGCCTGTAAGTCATCGACAACTTGCGGACCTCAGCATCAAATATTTATAGAGGAAACCATCAAGCGATACTTAAAGGCTGGAAGACCTGAAGCAGCACATGACCTTATTCCCACTGAAATTATTTTTCTGTTCAGGGCTCAGATGTCAGAATTAACATTTAGGATTTAGATGTATAAAAGTCAGTGTGTATAGGAACAGCATGATAATGTTCCTTGTTCATTGAATAAGCAGCGCTTAGAATGAACGTTCGATGATTACCAATGTTGATTATATTAGTAATCTGAGCTACAAAGGTCTTTCTCTGTTTTCATTTTGTTTTGTTAAGATATCACAACAGAATAAAGATGAACAAAAAGAAACTATTTTCAGTGTAAGATGCCCACCACATTGGCATTTTAAAGTTAAACGTAGCTATGAAGTGATGTCGTCGGATTTTACCCTGTGTGTGTAATGCATTGTGTTATTTGTATATTTCTCATAATATGTTACAGAGATCACTGGTGACATTTCTGATGACACAATCTGTTATTGATCTATATATGTATTATCCGCGTTTTCATTAGAACTAATTCACAATTCCTTCCGAACCGCCTCCGTGGTGTAGTGGTTAGAGCGTCCGCCCGGAGAGCGGAAGGTCGCGGGCCGAGACGACCAGTCCTTGTTGTACCCATTAATGCTGAGCGCCAGGCAGGACCAACAAGTACCATATTTTAACGTCTTTTAGTATGACGCGGTCGGGGATCGAACCCGCGACCTTCTGCTCTCCCCGGGTCGCTCTAACCACTACACCATGGAGGCGGTCGCATGTAATTAAGTGATTTCAGGGTTATGTTGTTCTCGAAGGTTCCTATAAATGATTCTGTATATCTCACCTTTACACATAATTACATTTCGGTGACTATACGTCCACCCATGTTTCAGACGCTGACGGCAGATAAGTTTGGCAACGACTTCCTCTACCACGGTGTACTGGACGTCCAGAGTGAGTTTCAGAGTCACAGAGTCTTACATGATAACCATAGGGTAATGTGAACATAGCAAGTGAGTGAGTGAGTTGGTTTTTACGCCGCTTTTATAAATATTCCAGCAATATCACGGCGGGGGACACCGGAATTGGGCTTCACACATTGTGGCCATTAGGGGAGTCGAACCCGGGCCTTCGGCGTGACGAGCGAACGCTTTAACCACTAGGCTACCCCACCGACCGAACATAGCAAGAATTGGTGCCATTGCACAGAGCGATCTTAGCGTTAACGTGATCGTAATGGTGTTTACAAATTAACATAGACTGTCGTAGTTCTCAGGTTGATATTTACAGCTCCCTTCTGAGATGTATTACATATCAGTCTTTCGATCTTCATTGTCCAGGCTCCAAGACACCAAAGCTAGGACCTTTATCATGACCCGGCTTCAGTGTATTGTGGCTTATATAAGTTAAACCTATCATGACAAAAGAAGCTGTGTGTTATAAAAATGGAGAGTTATTCAACAAAACCCGTTGTTTGGCGCATATACGAAAGAAGCAGCGGTTGATAACTCACAGCAGCTTACTTGCAACGGCCAAATCAAGCTGTAAAACTGTATGGAATCAGGGTGCCGTGTTTCTAAAGAATCTTAACGCTACGGCATTCGTAAGTCATCTTAAGGTATGGGAGTTACGATATCCAAAGGTCTCTTTGTACAACGGCACCCAAGTATATCGAACTACGAAAACATGATAATATTTGACGGATACATTTCATGTTGTATTTCGTCTGATCTGTGTTACAGAACAATGGGGAACCTGTACTGACTCACGATGGTACGGCTGCAAACGGGACGCCAAGGATTCCCTCATCCCTCCTATCCTCTCAGCCAAGCTCATCTCGCTAGTGGACTTCAAGTACGGCCGTATCGAGATGGTAGCCAAGTTGCCAGAAGGAGACTGGATCTGGCCAGGTAGGCAGCGTGAAGGAGTTATTTTTATTTTTATGTATTTTACCACCTTATTGATGTGCTTGATGACATCCCTATTGATGTGCTTCAAGACGTGACGATGGATGTGCTTAAGACTTCATCATTAACACTTCATTATGGATTTGCTCGAATATGTCGCTATGGATGTGCTTGATGATGTCCCTATGGATGTGCTTAATTACGTCACTATGGATGTGCTTAAATGAGACCAATCTCTGCTACTATAATTACCTACGATGATGTTGATATTGAGATCATTGAGAGTACATTGACTCCATTCCATTAGATAATGATTGCTTTCAGCTTTCTAAATGACAACCTTAAAAAAGGAACTTTAAGTGGATTGGTTAAAAAACAATCATATGTTAGACATGGTGGGAACAATATGTGTTTTGAAAATGGCCCTACATGGTTTTTACAACTGAGCAAATACACATTGATATAGGGCGCACTCTCTGCTTACACAACTAAACTAATTACAATGCACTCCCTGCATTAGTAGGTCTAAATATAGATTAATTGACTTTGCCAATATTGCAAACTTGTGAAGACGCACGCGCTCTCCATGTAACATGGCAGTGTGGGTATACAAGCAAGGTGGACTTACTGCCAAGTCAATGTTACCATACCAATACCTTACGAACCTATTTTGCAGCTATCTGGTTGATGCCTAAGTCCTTTGTGTATGGCGGATGGCCAGCTTCCGGTGAAATAGACATGGTGGAAGCAAGATGTAAGTGATGCAATAATATTACATAATAAGTAAGTTTCTCAACGTCAAATGTCAATTGTTATGTGAAAACCTGTATAAATTCTAATCTGTATACAAATATAACAAATGATAAACTCTGAAAACGTGCACCTACTAAATATAGCCCAAATTGGTTAATATAATAGTTAAATACCAAGTGATTCCATGACTTTTTCGCCGTTGTTTTCCAAAACCCTTAAAAAGGTAGGCCACACACACTAGAGGACTGATCTCCTGATAGTAGAAGGGGTTGGGTCTGTCTTGTATTGTTTCGCAAATCGATATGTTAGCTCATTTCGTATTTTAGTCTGCATGTTTTTATTCTAATGATTAATTAAGCTGATCGTAAAGTTATTGGTGTTGACAAATATTGTTTATTATATGATATAATTTTATTTTGTGAAAAAATAAGAAACTGATGTGCAAACCTTTCGTAAGCTAACGCGAAAAGCCAGTGCAATGGACAAAATCGACAAAATAATTATCAATAATAAATTCGTATTTATACTGTATGTGGGATTAGCTGAATGGCCTTACTTGACAACATTATAAACATCTGTACCAAAATGCCGCCTTTTACAGTACAATACAGTACAATAAAAGTGAGTGAGTGAGGTTTTACGCCGCTTTTAGCAATTATCCAGCAATATTACGACGGGTGACTCCAGTAATGGGCTTCACACATTGTACCCATGTGGAAAATCGAACCCAGGTCTTTGGAGGATGAGGCGTGATGAGCGAACACTTAGTACAATAACCAGTCAAAACTTTTGAGACCAATTAATTTAACTGGATACATAAATATTAATCAGTATTATTTGATACATCTAAGCACTCGTATATTGCAACACTACGCCCCTTATAATCCTTGTAAACATGTCGTGCAGCAGTCGTACAGCGAGCACTGACAAACAGAAACCTGGTAATCGTGGAAATCTCTATCAAACTATTGAAAGGTTAACATTGTTGTTTAGCGATAAAACAAGGAATTTGAATTTAGTGTAACCATAGTTGTTTGTGATGTCTATTTTCACTTTCACAGAAGAAAATTAGGATCATTTTGAATAGAAGGTCTTTGTCTGAATAGGTTAATGATAAATATGGATGACGAAGCATGAATTATTTCACATAAATATAACAGGTAACCTTCATTACATTACGGAAACATCGGTATTCAAAGAATAATGTCAACACTACACTGGGGGCCCAATCCAGGAAGTGACAGCTGGCCAAAGACCACTCAGGGAAAGTAGGTGAATCGGGGCTCATACTTTCAACTACTTGTTCTGGTAACATGTTGATGATTTTTGTCTTGTTAACCCAACAATCGGAATTTCCTGTTTTGTCCCTTATCGGAAAATGTGACGAGAACTAACACACGTAAATAGTTTCTTCAATTCAAGGCTAAAGAATAATATATTCACAAATTATATTGAAATATTATTTTATTACTCATCCCCATCCCTGCAGACCCTGTGGTGTTCTTGTCCAAAATATCTTGTAAATATAGTGAGTGAGTGAGTATGGTTTTACGCCGCTTTTAGCAATATTCCAGCAATATCACGGCGGGACACCAAACATGTGCTTCACATATTGTACCCATGTTGGGAATCGAACTCTGGTTTTCGGCGTGACGAACGCTTCAACCACTAGGCTACCTACTCATGTATCGTGAACGTTGTTAGGTGTGACCATGAATCAAGGGAGATAACTGTTTTCAGATTCGCATCCGGAGGCACCTGGGCTGACGACTTCCACACCTACACCATGGACTGGGATGCAAGTGGCATTGTGTAGGTTTGCGGCCAGTTAACACGGTTATATTTTATAATAGCTTAACACCGTATCAGACAAACAAACTTCAAAACAATAAAAAACAGATGATGGACGGATGGACGCCACTGTACGTCTACGGTCTACGGTACTTCACGTGGTGTATGCCCTAACGCTGGTTCTTGTAAACACTGCAGCATCTCCGTTGACGGTGACGTCATCCTGAACCGGCCCACTCCCTCAAACGGATACTTTTCATTCGGAGGCTTCAGCGGCATCAACCCATGGGCTGGACACGGCAAGGACGCCCCCTTTGACCAGGAGGTGAGGACTGGGATATGTTCCGCATACTCCGTAGACTGGTTTGTTTGCCAAAGAGCTCTCCACGCCGCTTTTCACTTCTACATCCGTTAGGAGGTGAAGCACAGGGTACACAAAGAGTTGAGGTTAAAGTGTGGGATGTGGTATAGAACTTACATGGCCTATCCTCTATTCCCTCAGACAGATTAATTTTGTCTTGAATGGAAGTCCCAATGAAATACGTGTTCACTGTATTGTATCGAATCTCAGGAACCCCTGAATTCTGAGTTTTACGACTATGAATATCGTATTCTGTAGATTTTGAGTTCTCATGAACTGGACAGCCAGTCCAGTGGTCATGCTATCATCATACGAGGTCCAAAACTATGAATGATTACATAACGAATATGGGTCACCTATATGTCGCAGCTGTTTGAATACACATGCAAAAACATACTTCAGATAACGTTTGTCTACATTGAGGTCAGTCCCAAAGTACAGTGCTACAGAACTAGAAATGAATGAAACTGTATAAAAATGTATGTTCAACACTTTTCTGGATTATCAGCTATCACATGCCTGACTTAAAATATTCTAACTCACATTCTTTAAGTGAGTGAGTGAGTTCAAGTTTTAGCAATATTTCAGCAATATCGCGGCGGGGGACACCAGAATGTGGAGACAATGTGGGAATATCTCCATGTGGAGAATCGAATCTTCTGTCTTCGGCGTGACGAGCGAAAGTTTTAATCACTAGGCTACCCTACCGACCCACATTCTTTAAGCATTCGTCACACACGCCTAAATTGATTCTAATACCTAAATTATAGTTCTCAGGTTTGTAATCTTTACTTTATGTCTGAAAAACGAGACTTGTGATAAGTTTTCCTTGATTTTGTCAGATTTGTTAAACCAGTTATGAACAGTGCTCGGGAGAACTTTAAAGTTATCAGATTCCATTGCACCAGCCTTATGTACACAATGTTTGTGAATGTGATCTACAATCAAAACACTTTTGGAAATATTTACATTTTTAAAACATAATTCCAAAACTTCAAGGAGCATTATACAAAGCGATCTTAGCGTTCGCTGGTCACACCGAAGACCCGTGTTTGATTCCCCACATGGATGCAGTGTGTGAAACCCATGTCCACCGCTGTGATTCTGCTGGAATATAGCTAAAAGCGGCGTAAAACTATACTCACTTACTCACTCAAATACCATCGCATGACCACTGTTTGTTTAACTGCTCTGTTTCAGTTCCATTTCCAATTCAACGTCGCTGTCGGCGGCACCCTCGGCTACTTCCCCGACAACGTCCAGAACTTCCCCTACCCCAAACCCTGGTGTAACACGTGTCCAACAGCTGGCCAGTCGGACAAAACATTCTGGGAGGCCAAAGACAAGTGGTACCCGACCTGGAAGGGCGAGAAGGCAGCAATGGCGGTCAAGTCCGTCAAAATCTGGAGTTACTAAACAACACAAATATTTTAGGTTTGATAATCAAGACAACGCTCGTGTGAATAAAGAGAGACATAAACTCTTGAATTATGTTATTGTCAAGAACACTTTCTCATATATTCTACAATTCGATCCTGTTCCAAATACTTGTAATAGACAGGTATTCACATAAGGCAGGTTGACTCCTGAGAGTTTCTAGGACATTCAGGTCTGTCCTGCCCCGATTATTGCGAAACAACAAAGTACACACATGACTCATGTGGTTTCATCTTAATGAAGGGCCTGTTCGATTATTATAGAGAAAACTGGGTTTTGGTTTCTGAAACTGGTTTCTCCTGTTATAAACGAGTGTCCAGTTTCCCACAAACCGAAAGCAGAAACCCGTCTCGGAGATGGTTTCGAAGTTTCAGAACCAGTTTTAGGTTTCGACATAATCGAGTGCATGGTTTACTCACCGGTTTAGCATAATCGAATAGGCCCTTAGTGAGCAACGGGATCGGGTTGTCAGACTCGCTGACTTGGTTGACACATGTCATCGGTTCCCAATTGCGTGGATCGATGCTCATTTTCTTGATTACGGGATTGTCTGGTCCAGACTCGATTATTTACACTCCGCCGCTATAATATTGCTGAGTGTGGCGTTAAACAACAAACAAACAAACAAACAAACAAACTACTGTGCTCAACTGTACTCTACACTAAGCTACTCTCCCCAGATTTCAACGGTCCGGCTCGCAGACTTTGTTGTCGCATGTCATCACAGCCCAATTGATATATAGATCGATGCTCATGATGTTGATCACCGGATTATCTGGTCCAGACACAATTATTTACCTTTCGCTCACCAACCTTCATTTTTTAAGTAATTTTGATCATTTCTGTCGCTCATATCTGCAACGGGGCTTTGAGGTAGCCAAGAAGTTAAAGTGTTCAGCTGAAGAGTTTAACGCTGTTGTTTGCCAGCAATATCACGGCGGGGCACACCGGAAACGGGTTAACACACTGTACCCATTTGGGGAATCAATCCCGGTTTTTTCGAGCGAACGCTTTAACCAGTAGGCTAACCTACCGCCCCATGGTGACGTTGAAGTAATTATTATTCACATCAGCAGATACATTTCAAAGTATAATCAATAGAAGACGACCCTGAACATTTACTCTGAAGTGGCGTCTTACGAAGATTTATTGCTGATAACTTCTGTCAAAGTTTGCGAAAACAAGTTCGAAAAGTTCATAATTATGACATATGCAACTGATATTTTACCCGTTAAGGTCTGGGTTTGAGTTGTCTTCGGTAACCCATGCTTGTCGTAAGAGAATCTTGTGGTCAGACTCTCTGACCTGGTTGACACATGTCATTGTATCCCAATTGATCGATGCTCATGATGTTGATCACTGAATTGTCTGGTCCAGATTATTTACAGACCGCCGCCACATAGCTGGAATACTGCTGAGTGCGGCCTTGAGCAAGAAACAACGAACAACTGATATTTTCAAATATTTGCTTGAAGGAATTTTATACAAATGTTTGTCATACATCTGATCTTACACAGAGAACGTATAATCAAACTGCACCAGTCAAGACAGGTAGGCCAGCGTGGAGTTTGATCAGTGCACCACACTCCAGTTAATGCTTCACTTAAAGACCATGGGTTAAGCCAAGGAGTCTATATATAGAGCCACTATGTAATTTAATTCGTTGTGCATGCAAGGAATGCGACCTGCATGTTATCAACGCAGTGGATGCATGTAATTGTTCAGAAAACCGTGATGTGGCAGCCTTGATGCATACATAGATTCAGGGTGTGACTCAATAGAGTGTTTGTACAAGCGATCCACTTAAAGCTTAAAGCTTCTACAAGTTTGTGTTGGTGTTAAAAATACCCGATATGCGTTCAGACTCTTTTACATGTAAACCCACTCCACCCCACCCAACCACCACCACCCCCCAACCCCAATTTATGTGTGCAAACGTCACGTTGACAAAATCTGTAGAAAAGCAGTTATTTCTGATGTTGTGTATGTTATTAGGTTGTCGATAACTCATGTCAATCACTCGTGTTCCACAACATTTAGAGTGGTGTGTTTCTTTGTTTGTTTGTTTGTGTCTTTGTTTGTTGTTTAAAGCCGCACTTAGTAATATCCCATCGATATGTCGGCGCTCTGTAAAAAATCGAGATGGAGCAGACAATCCAGTGATCAACAGCATGAGCATCGATCTACACAATTGGGATACGGTGATGTGTTTCAACCATGTCAGCGGACCAGACCACCTCATCCCGTTAGTGGGGCGGTGGGGTAGCCTAGTGGTTAAAGCGTTGGTTCGTCACGCCGAAGACCCGGGTTCGAATCTCCACATGGGTACAATGTGTGAAGCCCATTTCTGGTGTCCCCCGCCGTGATGTTGCTGGAATGTTGCTAAAAGCGGCGTAAAACCAAACCAGTCAGTCAGTCATCCCGTTATTGGCCTTTTGCATGGGTTGCTGGCATAAAGAATGGTATTCAGGGGATCGTTCGTATTTTGTACATGTTTTGCACTGACACGTTTACACTGTTTACAAAATGTTCAAAACGGTATTGCAGGTGAGTGAGTGAATAATCGAGTCTAGACCAGACAATCCACTGATCAACAGCATAGATCATCGATCTACGCAACTGGGAAACGATGACATGATTGTGTCTGACCACCCGATCCCGTTTGTCGCCTCTTGCGACAAGCATTGGTTACGGAAGACCAGTTCTAACACGGATATTCACGGGTTGAGTCTAGGTAACATAAACCCAAGGCTGATATCATGAGCATCTGTCCACGACGCCGGGATACAATGGGCAGTCAACCAAGCCAGCGAACCACCAGGTTAAGTCGCCTCTTCTACGGTATAGGTTGCTCAGGATATATTTTAATCCGGAAGTGATACTGTTTTATCGTCGCAATAGGGAACTAGGTAAAGTTATGATTGTCGCTGTTGCAACATGTGCTGGCAACAGAAGTGAACATTTATTCATATCCACACGTCAAGGAAGTTTGAAATGGGTAAAAATATAACTTTGAGTAAACAGACCGTAACAACAACTATGTGCTTTCTTTCGAGGAACTAAACGAAATGACTTGTGTATATTTTTGAATGTAAACATAAAACACGTGACAAACCATACATACATGTATATATAACAGAGTTTGAATCTATAATGCCATGACATGAGGAGTTGTTGGTAGCTTTCTGAGCTGATGCGGATGGTATCAGGTAAGATGACCCATAATCTTGCACTCTGTTTATGAAGACATAGTTCTAGGGGCTGTGGGGTAGCCTAGTGGTTAAAGCGTTCGTTCGTAACGCCGAAGACCCGGGTTCGATTCCCTACATGGGTACAGTGTGTGAAGCCCATTTCTGGTGTCCCCCGCCTTGATATTACTGGAATATTGCTAAAAGCGGTGTAAAACCAAAATCATTCACTCACTCTTTTAGTTATACATTCATTATCACTGTATTGGTATTTAGACACATGTAATGTGAATGTTTGTTTTCATGTCAGTAAATTCAAGTACAGGATTCAAAGTACATTCAGTTCTGGAATAACGAATGCGCTCGAACAATTAGAAATCGAAAACTGTCAAACAACGTTGATGTATCGAACCCACGGTTGTCACGAATTTAAAACTTGGTCACTGTCAATCCCTATTTTTCGGTTGTCTCGAACCTTGAATAACTCAAAGTATATACGTAGATCCCTTCAACTTCGATATAACAGTGTTTCACTACACCTATAATTAGAGAGTATTACTTTGTCGTCTATCACTCTGGTTTCGCTTTGCAGAATTTATTTCAAGTCTTACTTGAAAAATGTTCATAGATTCTTATTATTTACCAATATATTAGTTTGTATTTTGATGGGTTAAATGTCCAGTGTATTCAATGATTTCAATTTTTGTTCGCAATTTTTCAGAAGAAAATTCACCATGGGTATATTATTCCGGAAACATAGTTCCACGTACACCACAACGCCGCATGGACACAGAGTAGCCATAATTGACAAAAGAGGAAGTGACGTATCAAAAGAAACAGGAGCGATAACTCTAGCGGGCGAGCTGTATAGTACGTTACGATCAGGCGACACCGTGGCTGTCAACTTTCCGCTATCAAGGCCTTGTACCTCCAAAAACCCATGGCAAAGTAACCTGAAAAGGTACGAGCAATTACGAATGGTAACTGAATATATGAGAACAGCGTACAAGAATGGTATGTTCCCCATATCAGTCAGTTCGCCTATGGTAGCACGGATGAAGAGAGCAACGTCATGGTTGATGAAGACAGTCGGCCGGGAAGTGAGAGAGGGAGAGATGGTTTTAATTGAGGAGGTGTTGGGTGAAGAAAGTATATTTGTGGACAGCGTGGGTAGGAACGTAAAAGACTGCAAGGCTTTGGATGAACTGATACACTTCTCATATCACGAGTCGCACGGGGAGCTTGTCATCTGTGGGCTGAAAGGGATGGTAGGACCTGATAGTATGTTCCATCTTGGAGAACCTACTGTTCATTCTGTTTCTCGGACGTACGGAGATAGCGACAAAGGTGTTGACGGGATCAAGGTGGTTTTGAAAGAACACAGGTGTACGGACAGGTGTAGAAACTTGCGTCCGATTCCCGTAGATGGTGTGACAGAGCGATGTGTACCATCAGCTCCACCTATTCACGAATCCTTCCCAACTTCAGAATCTTCATCTCCCTGTGACATCATTTCTACCCAGTCCCTATCTAGCATCAACCCTCACCCACCACCGTATGACGTCATCTGTGACGTCATCACTGACCCTCCTCCATCTTACTCTGAACTGTTTCCCAGCGCTTCTCATTCATCTTCTTACCTGCGCTTGAAGCATGGGTAGGGGTGTTACCAGAGGCTTTCATGATTCTTTTACATGTGACTTAAAGACAAGTACAAAGTTTGATGCCTTATATACTGAGGGAAAAAAATAAGGGAACACATTAAAGCACTAATGTTCCGTTATTCTTTTCCAGGTTTCTGATCAAGCTTTGTATCGCACTGTTGGTGAGAATCTGAGAATAAATAGAGGAAAAGTGCGATGAAGTGGTGTTCCCTTATTCCTTTCCCTCAGTATACTATTTTGCTATTGGTTCAGTTACATCATGACTTGTTCAACAAAAAAGACTTTAGTGAGGAAATCGTTATGTTTAGCGCTTTGGTGAAACCTATTAACACCGTTACGGTGTTGAAAAATGTGATGCCACAAGGGCAGATCCTGGCACAGTAAAGGGATGCGACTCTTCACAGCAAAATGTGCGTTAGACGGCTGGGCTCGAGTGCCCCTGCTAATTTAGAAACGCTTTACAATCGCGTGTTAGAATTGTACCTAATGATGATGTGTCCTGATCATGCTCCATTGCGATATTTGTAATTCATGCAATCATGGGTTTGCCTGGTCCAAAGTCTCTTACTGGATAGGCTGGCAAGGATTCTGTTTCATATTGATGCAAATACCCTCTGTAAGTACATGTTTCAAAATATACGACACGTGTAAATATAGTGCATATAAAGTAAATGACACTGAAAGATGCTGCTTTTGTTTTTGTGTGTTATGTTACGTATAACAACGCCAGAGTGAGTGAGTATGGTTTTGCGCCGCTTTTAGCAATATTCCAGCAATATCATGGCGAGGGACACCAGAACTGGGCTTCACACATTGTACCCATGTGTGGGAATCGAACCCGGGTCTTCGGCGTGACGAGCGGACGCTTTAACCACTTACGCCAAGATCAAGCCTCGCTTAGACCATTGAACTGCACCCACACTACTTGTGCCAAGTATATGACAATATATGAATATTAACGTAGTGATGGAATTGTTTCACCGTTGTCTGTATGTTTGTAAACCTGCTATGTGCATATGCACAGTTCGAAATTCACATGCATTCAAGTCACAATATATATTGTGACTTTTTTTGCGTCACCTCGTTGTTAATGTCGCAGACCAAATGAGAATGTTTGGTTATCTATAAATAGTGAGTGAGTGAGTGGATTTAGTTTTACGCCGCTTTTAGCTATATTCCCGCAATATCACGGCGGGGAACAACCAGAAATGGGCTTCACACATTGTACCCATGTGGGGAATCGAACCCGGGTGTTCGGCGTGACGAGACATCACTTTAACCACTAGGCTACCCCACCGCCCCTAATCTATAAATAGAGTACAGCCATGCAAAAACCCCTTTCTGTTTTCAGCTCATGCTCCGATCTGCATGCTACGGAAGCCTATTAGGGCCACGCTACGCTATTATTCAGCATCTTGTATCTTGAAAATTCAACTTGCTATCTTGAACATTCAACTTGTTATCTTGAAAATTCAACTTAGTATCTTGAAAATTCAACTTAGTATCTTGAAAATTCAACTTACTATCTTGAAAATTCAACTTAGTATCTTGAAAATTCAACTTACTATCTTGAAAATTCAACTTGCTATCTTGAAAATTCAACTTGTTATCTTGAAAATTCAACTTAGTATCTTGAAAATTCAACTTGCTATCTTGAAATTTCAACTTAGTATCTTGAAAATTCAACATCCTATCTTGAAAATTCAAGAAAATTAGTACTTAAATGAAATGTTCTTCGTTCATTATGCGCTTTTCCAAATTCTCTGTACACGAACTGTGTATGACATATGACAATGGAGCAAAGCAGAGACAATATAATCTCTATGTATTTTTCCTTAGGATTATCTAACGCCGAAATTCACAATATGCACAATATCATGGCATGATTATAAGTGTAAGGACACTGAAAAGGGTTTTGTCCAAATGCAAACTTCACAGGAGAAAAGGCCATTCTGATATGGAAGTGGCTTTGTTCATTTTGCAACAGTGTGACACATCGGGTAATTGTAATGGTTACAGGTGGATGCATCGTAAATGTCAGGAGAGCGGACTCATAGTTTCAAAAGAAACTATTTTGATACTTATGAATCTAATTGACCCAGAAGGAGTAAGGAATCGCAAGAAATGCCGCCTTGCATGCCGCAGTTATATTTCAACCGGCCCAAATGCACTTTGGCACATGGACGGATATGATAAATTGAAACCTTATGGCATATGTATTCACGGATGTGTGGACGGATTTTCTAGATGTGTTTTGTGGATGGATGCATGGACGACAAACAACGATCCCAAAGTAGTAGCTGGATATTATCTTGACACTGTAGAACGACTGCATGGATGCCCAGAAAGAATCAGATCAGATGCTGGTGGTGAAAATAGGCATGTAGAGCAGATGCAGCTGTTGCTTAGACATGACCACAACGACAGATTTGCTGGAAGTGAAAGCTTTCTTTATGGCTCAAGTGTCCACAACCAACGTATTGAGTTTTGGTGGGGTATATTGAGAAAGCAGTGTGTGCAATACTGGATGGACATGTTCAAGCACCTGAAAAATGAAGACTTATTTTGTGGAGACTACCTTGACAAGAGCCTGGTGCAGTTCTGTTTCCTTGATGTCATTCAGGTATGGTGTTATATTTTCATATGTTCATATAAAGCAAATAAGACATTTACATGAATTAAAATATGTTTTCAAAGTAAATGTATGCATGCATGGACACTTTACAATAAAATCTGTCAATGTGTTATGTCATCACACCTATGTTGTACTTGATGTCATATCAGTAACCCGTGAAGGTCCGGGTTAGAATTGGCCTTCAGTAACCTATGCTTGTCGTAAGAGGCGACTAACGGGATCGGGTGGTCAGGCTCGCTGGCTTGGTTGACACATGTCGTCGGTTCCCCATTGCGAAGATCGATGTTCATGCTGTTAATCACTGGATTGTCTTTTCCAGATACGAATATTTATCAGTAAATAGTAACATATACTCATCCCTTTCATTTCAGAAGGAAATCAAAGATGTTGCACAAACATGGAACTTTCATCAGATACGAGCAAACAAAAACTCCGACAATCCTAGTGGAAAACCATCTGTTCTATTCTCCCTTCCCCAACTTTATGGAGCTGAAGATCATTTGAAGCCTGTGTGTCCAGCCTCTCTGGAACTCTGTAGACAGGAGAGTACCCCGAGAGGTGAGGTGAACTGTGACCCAACAGTGCATGAACTGTGTACTTTGATCATGGAGGACATGCAATGGCAGTTTCCCGATGACAAGAAGAATTTGACTTTTGCATTCAAGAAGTGAGATCAGAAAAGAGCTTTGATGTACGAAACTGTCTGAAAATCAACCTTTGCTCCTCAGATGAACATAGCAGATACATACATGAGAAATGGAAGAAATGTTTCATGAATAAAGCCATTGTATAGTCATCTCAGTCTTTTTCGTTCAGAGAAAATAAGAGATTTTTCACATTTGCTTTCAATCCATTGACTGCAGTTCGTAGAACTGGTACTTGTTATATATTATAGTATTATTTGAGCAGCGAAATATGCAAAATATGTAAACAATTTCAAATATTGAAAATGATATAGCAGCATGTCTGTTTGTAGTTGGGTTGGTATGAAAAACAGTTTAAGCTGAAATCTTACAAGTGCAAGGGAACAGGATTGCTAATCCGGTTAAATCTGGTATAAGAAATTAAATGAAATTTAATATTGAGTTGGGGTTTTATGCCGCTTTCAAGAGTATTGCTCTTAATATGACAGTGGCTAGTATTTGTGTCGTAAGGAAGGATGGTCAACCAATGTACCGTTGTGTTAACTGCTATGACACCTGCCAGCAGCGACTGGAGCTAGCGATCCATGCATAGGCGTTACTGTTCTGCACTCAGTTAGGTTTAAGTTTCAGGGCCCAGATTTTCGAAGCTCTCTTAGCACCAAGATAGGTGTCGCCAAATCTTAGCAGTAAGTCAGCATCGAAAATCCATGTCCCGAAGCTCTGTGTATATTTGCTGAGTGTAGAACAGTTCCCGACTTTAGATAAGGGGAGACTCATGATAGCACATGTCACAGTGGTTAGCGCGAAACATAGAACCAAGAGGTTCGGTGAGTCTTTGCATTGGAGAACTGTATTCTGCAGACAGTGAAGTTTGAGTACTAGTAGTATTGAGATTCAGTGTAGTACCACCCTTGGTTCTTTGATTCCAACCAATCATTGCTCTCTTCCTGCAATAATACCAGCCGTCGTGATAAAAATGTTTAACACTGCATTCAAGAATATTTCACTTTATATCGGCTGTTGTATTGTTGCAGGAAGAATGCTCGCACCCCCAATTTGTTTTGTGTAACATTGCATCCAAACCTGACTGCGTGTAGAACAGTTCTCAATATTGCAGACTAAGTTGTTGTGCCCTTGGTGGAATTCGAACCTGGAACCTCTTGAACCAAAGCCAAACAGCTAACCGCTGTGCTTGTTAAAACCCACTTCAATCACTCCATTGCAACCTCCTATTTCAAAGCTAAGCTCTCAAATTAATAGTGGTCAAAGATAACCAAGACACAAAATGAGATGTTTTATTTTTTCACTCTTTCTTCATAGTGACAATCTCAACTGGAACAGTGAACAGTAATCATTAGCAACAATTGCCTGCATGAAGTAACACATAAATTTTTCAACATAATTTTACACTTTTTAAAATGATATAAAAATATCAATATAGAATGAGATCTTTCATTTTGTACAGTAACCCCTTTGAAGGAAACTTGAAATGAAACTATATTCTAAAATGAAAATACTGTATACGAACATCTTCTATGTTGGGAGGGATTATGATAAAAACACTTGTGTATCACACAACAAGAACAAAGGTGAACAATAAAGTCACTTCCAGAAAGTTCACATAAACTCAGATTAAAGAGGTGTTAAAAGTCAAAGTGGCAGGCTGGATTAAATCACACAAAGTCCATTATCCAAATGTCACTTCTGAGCAGTGAGTTGAATTCGGCCCTGAATTCAATGTAACTGTCATACTGTTCAGGTACGTCCAGTACCTGTCCACAAGTATGGCCGACAGGTCTTCTTGATAACCCTGACAGGGTGTTGAACCTGACAAATATTGGCTTGTTTTCTCCATTGCCAGTTGTGAGAAGCAAGTCAGAACCAGTACAAAAACGTAGAAACTTTGATAAGTCATCAGAATTTAGTTCCCGGATGTACTTTGTTAAGAAGCCAGATGTCGCACTCTGAACAGGACTCATTTCGTCTGGAAAAGATAAAATCTTGATCACTTTGCGGGGATTTGGCTTTGCAGACACATACAGTGTTTCCAAACTGGTGTTCAGATCGAAACCAAGAGCTGTTAACTGGTTGAACCCGCAGTCTTTTACATACATGGGCTGCTGGATCACTTCCTTGTGGGCGATTTCCCCCAGGATCTTCTCCAGATTTTCCTTGGTTGGAACCACACGACATTCGTGCGACCCGAGAATGTCCATGACTTCCTCCTGGTCAAAATCATCCTTTAGTGCTGCAGAAAGGATTCTTGATTCACCTTCCGGCAAAAACGAGAGAAAATCCGAAATCATGTTTTTTTTGTTCTCTGAAAAGATGTCCATTCCATAGATTGCACAGGACATGAAAGCTTTTGATAAACAAATAGGGAAGTACCGCTGTGTAGACCAGCCGAAGAAAATCACTGTTGCAATTGACTTCCAATCAGCATCTGAATAATCATGCCTCAGAAAAGGTACTTTGCAATCATTGCCAAGCGTACATTTATCACAGAAAGACTTCCAAAATTCTGTAAGTGCATCTCGTACAACACCCCCGTTATCCTCAGCAATTTCAGTCTCGCCATTTGGTAGCACCATTTCCAATGTAAAGAGATCTTTTGAAAAATTGAAAGATTCGTCTCGGAATTTTGCCATCAACTCCTCATAGACATGTCCTCTGTGAAGGCGAATGGTATGTTTTTTCACCATGTTGTGTGCATTTTCAAACTCACTGAATAGCATATCAATATCAATGCTAGATTCTGTAGGTTCCGTTATAGTGGGATCCTGAGGTACCTCAGCTGTGAAGGATTGTACTGGAGGAAAGGAGTCAATCAATAAGACATCAGCCATACTGGATTCTGTGACATGCTCCCCTGTCACGTTGCCAGCCAGCGGTGTTAGTTATTGACGTTAGAGAAGGAAGAGAATCATTAGATGATGTGTCAGTTCCATGCAATGGGATGTCGTTCTTGGAAGTTGTTTTGTAACATGTTGTTTTATCTTCATACTCAGACGAGGATGTGATAGTGGATGTTTTGGCTCCAGTTCCTGGTGATATTGGTTTACTAGGCCCTGGAGTTTCATCAGGTAACTCACTCAGATCTTTGTCTTTGATGATGAGGTAGAACCGAAGATTTTTCATCTTGGTTATTTCACTTATTTGCTGTATTGTGAACTGCTCCTCTAATTTAACAAACTGGTAATCCATGACATCAAAGTCAAACTGCGTTTCTTCTCCAAGTTTTACTGAGGTTCCGTTGGGAAAGAATATGGTCTTAGCTGAGGTCAGAATGTCCAGTTTTGTTGAGGTCTTTGGCAATGATGTGCTACGTGTACCACCACCAGAGTTTGTCCGAACTTGTCGAAAAACTTCTTCTTCCTGTCGAATTTCATCAACCCAATGCCCACCGTTTTGCTTTCCTTCATTGCATTTTTGGCTTGGGCATATTTCTGTTCGCATTGGTTGTCTTTGCTTGGAGATGAGCCTTTCTTCAGTTTCATGCGCAGTCTTTCAAATAAGCTTTGTTTTCTCTCATCATGTTTCCTCTTCACAGGTTTAACAAATCCTCTCAGCGCTAATCTGTCCCCAAATGCGGGAATATACTGCGAGAGCTGTTCATCAGTCATCAGGTCTATACATGGACCATCAATCTAAAACGTAAAGTTTTGATTATATCTTTGAAACGAACTGCTGGCAATGAAATAAACTTCAAAATGTAATGATTTCAGATTTGTTTTGGAACATTTCAGAATTTTCAGGACATTTTTTTTGAATGAAGCATACTGCATAGAAAATGCTAAATTGGCGACATCAAAATATGCTATATTTGACCATGCCTGCATTATATATGAGTGAGTTAGTTTAGATTTACACCACACTCAGCAATATTGCAGCTATATGGCGCTCTGTGAATAATCGTATCTGGACCAGACAATCCAGTGATCAACAGCATGAACATCGATCTACACAATCAATTGGGAACCGATGACATGTGTCAACCAAGTCAGCGAGCCTGACCATTTGATTCCGTTAGTCGCCTCTTTCGACATGCGTGGGTTACTGAAAATCAATTCTAACCCGGATATTCACGAGTCACATTATATATGACAATATATGTTAATGTAAACGACTATATCTCAGATTCAAAGAAGCATTAATCTCAATAAAACACATTAAACATACCTTATCAGTGTGCATCTTGTCAATATTCTCTTGCTCTATCCCCCGAGATTTGAGGAAATTGTCCAAAGACATCATGTCTGAATCCTCAATCAAACCTGTACTCTAAATGAAATAATACAATGCAATGTCACGTGAAATATCTTGAATTTTCAAGATACCAAGTTGAACATTCAAGAAAGGATGTTGAATTTTCAAGATAGCAAGTTGAATTTTCAAGATAATAAGTTGAACTTTCAAGATACTAAGTTGAATTTTCAAGATACTAATTTGAATTTTCAAGATAACAAGTTGAATATTCAAGATACTCACTTGAATATTCAACAAAGTTCAGTTGAATTTTCAAGATAGGATGTTGAATTTTCAAGGTACTAAGTTGAATTTTCAAGATAGCAAGTTGAATTTTCAAGACACTATGTTGAATTTTCAAGATAGGATGTTGAATTTTCAAGACACTAAGTTGAATTTTCAAGATAGGATGTTGAATTTTCAAGATAGCAAGTTGAATTTTCAAGATACTAAGTTGAATTTTCAAGATACTAAGTTGATACTAAGTTGAATTTTCAAGATACTAAGTTGAATTTTCAAGATACTAAGTTGAATTTTCAAGACACTAAGTTGAATTTTCAAGATAACAAGTTGAATTTTCAAGAAAGGATGTTGAATTTTCAAGATAGCAAGTTGAATTTTCAAGATACAAGATGCTGAATAATAGCGTAGCGTGGCCCTAATAGGCTTCCGTAGCATGCACGTTACTGATTTAAGACGATAGAATTACGACTTAGTGCTGCTGTTGTCTCTATATTTGTAAACTAGCTTTGCACGTACGCACGGCTCGAAGATCATGTGCACACAACACACGCTATTACTCATTGATATAAATAGTGCTTCAGTTACATTTCCTTAACTACACAGTGCTGTATGAAGGTTTGACTACGTATGGCTCACTCCAGTCAAATATCTTTCAGAAGGATATGTCGAATATCCCTCTGTCTCGAATTCACATTCCGGTTTCTGCAGATTCTTGCTATATTGAAATGCAGTTCTCGCTCCAGCTGAAATGCAGTTTTCAAATGCCTCGAACCACTTGTGAGTCCAAAGTATCCAGATTTAGAAAATATCCAACTACAAGTTCCATGTAATTACACTGACTAACTGAGTTTGGTTTTACGCCGCTTTTAGCAATATTCCAGCAACATCACGGCAGGGGACACCAGAAATGGGCTTCACTCATTGTACCCATGTGAGGATTCGAACCCGGGTCTTCGACGTGACGAGCCAATGCTTTAACCACTAGACTACCCCACCGCCCCTCCATGTAATTACAAATATAATTCAAAATAACACATAAAAGAAGAAAAACAAACAAACGGATATTTACTACCACCCGAAGAATCCCTTTATAGTCAACAATTCCGTAATGCAAATGGACGTAACAAAAGAACATACAGAAACAACAGTTTACCAAGCTGAGTGCACCAAATGGAACAACGTTGATATCAATACCCGGGCTATCTAAACACGTTCAACAACAAATATACGTTAGTGCGTAGAAACAGTCAAAACATATACTTTCATTTTCGAAATGTAAATAAAGTCCGGGTTGACCTGGGATTTCTCAAATACGTTTTGGTTTATTCTTGAACCCAGCAGGTATAAGTTTCTGCATGGTTACACGCCTTGTTAGCTGATCTAGTTTGTGCCTTTTCCAGGTATTGAATTAGATGCAATCTGGGACAGATATATTTACACACAATACAGTCGTGGTTTTGACACGTCCACGCTATTCCGAGTGCGCTGGTTCAGGGAAATATACTCTCCCAAATAAGAAACGCATCATGAAAATAGCAATTTCATGTAGCAATGAATTAAAACGTGATTCATTTTACAAAAGGTTTTACTCTGTTTAGGAGTCCTATTGAGTTTATGTTTTGAAACATCACAACAAAACGCACCCTCCGTAAAATACCCGTATTTAACAGCATGATTTTCAATTTCGGGGTGTAGTGTCACAGAATACACAATTCACATGCAATGCACGTGAAAGTTGGGGATCAGATAGTCTCAATGATGGGTATAAAAGGTTGATTGCTGTCTGTCGATTATTCACTGTATTTGGAATATTGTTGACGAACGCAAAATGCCACGTCTAAGTGAAGCCAACCGTCATATCGCCATTGGTTTGCTTAAAGCTGGCCAGTCTCAACGCGCAGCTGCCCGACGCATGAATGTTCACCAAAGCACCACTTCACGGCTCTGTGAGAGATATCGCCGGCAGAATGCGGTAGCAGATGCCCCTCGTAGTGGGCGACCTCGAGCGACCACTGCGGCGCAGGATCGCTACATCAGGGTACATCACCTGCGTCATCGAACAGCTACGGCGACCAGTACCGCTCGACAAATACCCGGATTGAGAAGACTTTCTGCACAGACCGTCATGAACAGGTTGAGAGAGGCTGGTTTACGTGCCAGAAGACCTAATTTTGGCCCTGTGCTTTTGACAACAACATCGTCGACATCGAGTTCGATGGTGCACCAACGTTCAGGCCTGGAACCTACCGAATTGGCGTAGAATCTGGTTCAGTGATGAATCACGATTTCTATTGGAACGACGCGATAGAAGAATGCGGGTGAACAGACGTCGACGTAAACTTTTCGCCGACGCTTGCGTTCCCCAGGTGGACAGATTCGGCCGGGAAAGTGTTATGATGTGGGGGAGCGATCACCTGCCGTAGGAGAAGTGATTTGGTGATGATCCTGGGCAACCTGACAGCTCAACGGTACTGTGACGAAATCCTACGCCCACACCTCCTTCCAATCATTGATCGCCATAGGGAGTTGTTTCAACAGGACAATGCCAGGCCCCACACAGCACGTCACACTAGAGACTTCCTCCAGAACCACAACATCAATGTGCTCCCCTGGCCCTCAAGATCACCGGACTTAAACCCGATCGAACATCTGTGGGATGCCCTGGACAGACGGGTGCGACGCCGTAACCCTTAGCCCCAGACACTTCAGCAACTCGCACAGGCACTACAGGCAGAGTGGGCTGCGATTGGGCAACACGAGATTCTGAGACTTATTCGTTCGATGCCGAGGCGATGCCGTGCAGTTCTGGATGCCCACGGTGGTCACACGAGGTATTGACTTCAGCGCCACCACACGTCTCCATGTGACACTCAAACTGGCTTTCCTCGAGTTGGTGCCAAAGACGGATAAGTCTGCATTCCCAGTGTGCAATTTCGCTATATTTCATTGACTCATAAAGCCTACAAGATGTTTCAAAATAAACATAAAAATACAGTTAAAATTCCTTTATGCGTTTCTTTTTTGGGAGAGTATATTTAGAAACGTAAACGTGGTAAAATCTGTCTGTCTCACAACCATATAATGTTCTCTTCCGCCCAGCCATTTCTGCAAGACAAAAGCCTTAGATGAAGCAATCTAGAGTAGAATCCCTCGACGTCCTGCTTTGATAGTACCCTGCATTTACCTGAGCAGATTAGTACAACTTAGACCATTGATGGTGTCACCTTTTGAGATATTGTCCATTAATAGGATGTCTTTGTAGTCAAGTCAAAATGATGCCAGATGACGCACGCTGCTTTTACTTTGCGATTGATTGCCATTGATCGTAGATCCAACCATTCCTCCCAAATCTGGATCCAATTCCACAATCTGAAAAACTCTCGTATGTGTACCAACTAAATCGTTATGATAGAGTGGTGTCTTGTTCTCGTCAGGTTTTGCCCAACTCCAAGTTCTTATAAACCGTTAACAGGGAGACAACGGTAAATCCATGCAGGCCTTTCTACTTACATTACCTCATAACGTCTCTAATTACTACATCAGTTCTTACTTGTGGCACGAGTGAGTGAGTTTAGTTTTACGCCGCTTTTAGCAATATTCCATCAATATCACGGCGGGGGACACCAGAAATGGGCTTCACACATTGTACCCATGTGGGGAATCGAGCCTGGGTCTTCAGCAGGACGAGCGAACGCTTTAACCACTCGGCTACCCCACTTCCCCACTTGTGACACGAGCACCTGAATACATTTGATGATACCTCCACGTAACATCACAAAAAAAATAAAATTCTACATTAGTGCCGAACACCCGCCCCATAATAAACACACTGATAGACAGATTAATATTTTTGTCAAACATTGCTGATAACGACAGTCACAAATCGTTACCGATAATTGGTAACCATGACAAACTGCAAGTAATCACCTCCATACGATAAGTTTGCCTTGATCTTTATGAAATCAGAATCGATCTGCAAATACAACTGGGTCTGCCTGTTCAGTTTCCACTAACAGGTAATTTGCCGAGTCGTTCTGAAACACAGTCTACATGTTATAACTCTTTTGATGAATCATCGTACACGTGTGTAATGTGAGCTGTGCAGACAGAGGAGTGGCATTTGCTGGTAAACTATATGCTGGAAAGTCACAGGGTGAAAGCGCTGCCCACACGAAATGTGGAGTTGCCCCCAAAAGCAACTCCATTTCCTCGCTGGACAGTGAAAGAAGAACACGTGGCGCAAGAGTTATGGTAAGTTTTCCCCTCGCATTTGCATAACTGTGCATGTATATCAGGTTTTGCCTTGGTATGGTCATTGGCATTAATTGTTATGGTAATGACACAATAACGGCAGTGACAATTTTAATAGTAGCCAGTTTTATATGTTTACTTTAAAAGATGATTTAATGAAATCTGTCAGTCAAATATTTCAGAATGTTTAAAGAATATGTAATAGGCAAAAGACTGCATGTTGCGGCAGTGACACTGTGGCGGTATATAATGTCATCACCGTAACGGCCCTATCACAGTCGTGTTGATCTACACCATACTCTACAGAAGGCAGTACAGAGTGACAGAGTTATGACTGTCAAATGTGAAATCTTGGACACTATAGGACGCAAGTTCTATAAATGTTCTACATAGACTGTTATATGTAACTAGAAAAGATATGTATTTTGTTAATAACCCTGCCTTAATAAAATATATAATTTATTACTAAGTAATTGTTGTATTCATCACTGATTAATGGATTAAACGATTACAGACTGGGGAAGTCAATATGCTAAAGTGTGTGCAGTCAACCAGAAATGTTGTTGTTACAAGCTGTGGAAGTTTTGGGATGTGGAAGTTTTGGGAGGATACCGCAGCGCCCACGGTTATCTCCCAATTGACAGACACCCATTTGACAGACACCCAATTGGCAGACACTGAACTAGAAGGTTAATTAGGGTGACACCTACGGGTAAAATGGAACAGTCCACTGTCTAGTCATAGATCGTAGTTAAGTGCACTTGTCCTATATCTTAATATTGTGTGCAAAACATATAACTTCTTTATTCCATATGAAAAACATTTGGGTTCATATTTGTCTTTATTTGATTTATACGATACAACAGTGTCGCAATTTCTAATAGCTAAGTTAATGTTTTCAATATGATGATGCCGACTCCCGTTAGACAAGAAGGTTAAACCGAAATGTTTATGAAAATAAACTGTGTTTATATTGCAGCATTAAAAATTCAAATTACTGTCTTTTCGTCCATCTTTCAAAATAAATAATAAAGCTTCAGATAGTTTCTGTGTTTTTATTTGGACTATTCCATAATAATGTGTAGGTAACAGGTAGTAGATAATCTGTTCACTGAACCGTAAATGTTGTTGTTTTAAGGTGTCTGCGAATTGGCTGTCTGCGTAATGGGAGGATACCGCGACGCCCACTGTTTATCGAGCTGACATGGACCTCAGCTGCCAGGTTAGCTCACGACAGACACTCGTCTAAATCTGAGGCCTCAGATAGCATAGTGTAAATTGCGAAACTTTCGTTACATATCATGCGTAATTCACACGTCGACACGTGAGGGTATCAGTGAGTAACTGTAAAAGCAAACATAACATTGTAAAGCATGGACAATATAAACAACCTTGACCTTGCTTTGAGTCAGCGCGACTGCGCTGAGCTGTAAGTGGGAGCGTCTCGGATGTTTTCAGGCGTTGTTCGTGAAGCTACTTATAGTCAAGGTTGCGCAAGACTACATCCAGATACGATACTGACCTATATAACGTAAGTTACACTGTCTCTGTACATAGCCACTGTATACTTACCATCAAAGGATTTAACACTTCACATATTCAGTAAGTCTTTCATTACGTTCATTTTGATTTGATAAATGTGAGCATCCCTTGCGATATGCGGTACTAACAGCGAAACGATATATGTGTCTGTTTATGTGTTTCTAAAGTGTGTCTAATAGTGACAGGAGAGAAATTATGATGCTACTGTGATAACGTTGTAGGAAAAAAACATTATTTTTTGTATAATAATTACATTTTAAATGTTCACTAATAATGTAACTGATATGAGATACGTAATTAACCCGGAAATATTGCTGCATGTAATTACTATGTGGTGAAAAGGTCACTATACGCAAGATACAAAGATTTCAGTACTTCATGTTAAATTGTATGTGACATGTTCATTGTTAATGACATTATTCATGATGGTTTTACAAATTATCAGCCCAAGCTGAAAATAGGATATGGAGGAGGAGAGCCCCCCGTCGTACACCGACACAATGGCCGCCATTGCTGAGGGGATGCGACACCAAGGGATACAGACGCCGTCCAGCCTCAACCCCGAGGATTTATCCGGAGATTCCTTTGTTGTTATATTTCCTCCATCATCGACCAGCAGGTAAGCAGGGAACAGGTGTGATGATGAGGCGAGCAAAGTTGGGGAAGGGAGGTAACTCCGTGAACTTTCACTATGGGGAATTAGTTTGATGGTAGAGTGACCTGCACGTTTGTTCGTTGTTTGTTTGTTGTTTAATGCCGTTCTCAGCAATATTACACTTAAATTGCGACGGTCTGTAAATCGGTCATGAGCAACGATCTATGCAGTTGGGAGCCTGACTACCCGATCTCGTTTGTCGCCTCTTACGACAAGTATTGGTTACTGAAGACTAATTCTAACCCGGATCGTCACGGGTACCCTCCACGGTGAATAGTTTATTATATTATATATTTTCATGGCTTCAGTACATATCTGGACAAAGCTTCATTAATGATACAAAGACTGTTCCTTAGTAATATTGTTTACATAACTTCTCGTCGGATGAATAAAACAAAACAATTCACTCATAAAACCTAAATGGATAAAGTAACAAAAGTCCACTATGGAAGCCGTCAGTAAAGTCACACTACTACTACTACTACTACTACTACTACTACTACTACTACTACTACTACTACTATAATATTGATCGAAGTGTCCTTGATTTCAATGGTCGGTTTCTAGATGAGTGGATGTTACTCGATTTAGTAACCTTATATGGTTGTCATACGTTGTTGGCGAGCATTAGAACGATGTTTTTCCGTTGTGTTATTATGTTAGGTGTGTGATACTAGTTTCGACCCGTGAAAAATAGAATTGGTCTTCGGAAAGTCATGTTTGTCGTTAGAGGCGACTAACGGGATCTGGTGGTCAGGCTCGCTGACTTGGTTGATTGCGTGGATCGATGTTCATGATGTGAATCACTGGATTGTCTGGTCCAGACTCAATCATTTACAGACCGCCGTCATATAGCTGGAATATTGCTGATAGCGTCGTTAAACAATCGACCAACAATAATGCTTGTTTCATACATTTTGAGACCCGTAAAGGTCCAGGTTAGAATATTGATCTTCAGTAACCCATGCTTGTCGTAAGAGGCGACTAACGGGATCAGGTGGTAAGGCTCGATGACTTGGTTGACACATGTCATCGGTTCCCAATTCCGCAGATCCATGGTCATGTTGTTGATCACTGGATTGTCTGGTCCAGACTCGATTACTTACAGACCGCCGCCATATAGCTGGAATATTGCTGAGTGCGGCGTAAAACTAAACTCACTCACTCATACATTGCGATTTTTATTATACGTACGTTCACTTAACTATCAACTTCTCTTTAAGCTACAGAAGCTTCAGAAGTGGATCATCCATTCAGTCAGTTGATACAAACATACAAGGGCCTCCACCTGCTTACCCAGAGCATACATCTCGAGGAACTCGCAGAACATCAGCAGAACCAGTTTCACATAATACAGAGCCCAGTTTCAGTTTCATTGGTGACCAGCGAACTTCATCACTTGATGCTGATGTTGAGAAAGTGTCTGTTCCAGTATCTCTTCAAGATGCCACCCAGTCACACAGAATGGTTCCACTGCCACAGACCGGAGCCCAGTCAGACCGGAAGTACTTTCCAGGTTTTCCACGCCCATCACCAGCGGCCTCAAACATTCGTGACGACGCCATTTTGTCAGATGGGGCGTCATGGAAACCATTGAAGCACAACCCGTCGTTACCGGGAAGAATCGTTATAGAACAATATGAGCACGTCATCTCAAGTTCCTCCCCCGCTGCCATGGAGATCAGATGGCGTGTTCCTGAAAACGCGACCCACTTCACTGGTTTGATTTACGTGGTTGAGACAAACTGGTCGTCCCACCCACTCCTTTCAGTCACACCGATAACCAAACCGATCGATCGGGAAACAGATGACGACCATTGGGTAGAAATAATAGACACTGCCAAGCCGTTTATTCGCTTGTTTCGAACTCAGTCGATGCTTACGATTGGACATGCCAAATGGGCTCTCAACCAATCAAGTGCAACACACGGTCTGAAAATGTGGTTCCGCGTTCGAGCTGTCGATGGGTACAACAGGCTGCCATCTTGCAAGAAGGGTCCTTGGAGTGAGGAGTTTAAGGTCCACTTCATTGAAACGTAAGTTTGATTATTGCAATATTTCAGCTGTATTAAAGATATTTAATTAGTCGAATCTGGACAAGATGATTGATTGATATTAGCGTTGTAAATGAAGTGTTTGGTCCTTTTTATAGTGAGTGACTGACTGACTGACTGAGTTTGGTTTTACGCCGCTTTTAGCAATATTCCAGCAATATCACGGCGGGGGACACCAGAAATGGGCTTCACTCATTGTACCCATGTGGGGATTCGAACCCGGGTCTTCGGCGTGACGAGCCAACGCTTTAACCACTAGACTACCCCACCGCCCCCCTTTTTATAGTGTGTGAATGTGTGGGTTTGTGCGTGAGTATACCATTTGGGTTTACGCAATATTCCAGCAATATCACCTTAACACCAGAAATGGGCTTCACATATTGTACCATGTGGGGATTCGAACACGCGTGACGAGTGAACGCTTCAGCCAGCTGCAGAAGGCTACCATCTGCTTCACGTTGGTTGGTTGGTTGGTTGGTTTGTTGCTTAACGCCGCACTCAGCAAAATTCCAGCTATATGGCGGCGGTCTGTAAATAATCGAGTCTGAACCAGACAATCCAGTGATCAACAGCATAAGCATCGATAAAGGCAATTGGGATACGATGACATGTGTCAACTAAGTCAGCGAGCCTGACCACCCGATCCCGTTAGCCGCCTCCGGATCTTAACGGGTCTGCCCCACGTCCTGTATGCATACATGAATATTTTATTCCAGTGATTATGAAAGTGTTGTTCCGAACAGGATGCATATTTGTCTTTGGTGTACTAAATGCAGGTTTGTAACCTAACGTTACAACACATTCCCTACGTGTCCCGTATTTTCGTGACTATGACCCATTTTCCGTGTCGTACGTAAGTGGAATCAACTTCCCGTATAATACGTGTCTGATCAACGTAACGCAATACAAGTGACCGTTATCAACTTTAAGGAGTGTTCGTGACTCTGAATAACGTCTGATACGTGTTTGATCATTTGATCGAAGATATATTTACTGTTATCCCAGTAACATAGGGGTTAATTTCATACATTGTGTGTAGCTGATAAAGTTATCGCAGTTAAAATTACTGTTATCCCTTTTACGTACTGTACGTGACTTGGGATTTTATACCTGGTATGTACCTGATAACCTTATTGCCGTTAAAGTTACTGTTATGACAGTTACGTAGTGTACCTAAGTGGGATAAACATTACGCAAGTTACGTAGTTTAAGGCAATTAAACTTTATGTTGCAGGGGCGGCATCACGAAGTCTCAAGAAAACGCATGGAAAAAATCCCAAGAAGCTGCGATGGGAACAAGTGACATATCTAAACAAGACAAAGATGCTGAACCCCTGACATTCGCACTATCCGCATTTTACGCAAAAAACGCACCATCCGCAACAACCGCATCTTCCGCAAAAACCGCACCATCCGCAACAGCCGCATCTTCCAGCTTGTCCACAGATGCGGTTAATATTCACAAGTTAGAGTATTACATACACTCCGATTCACCAACCGAGACGCGAATAACATGGGAAAGACCTTCAAATTCGGGGAAGTTCAGGCGAATGTTTTACGAAATACAATCCATGCAAGAACCACCGCAAAACAAGGGACCTAACGCCACTCGATTTAAACAGTGTGTCTTATCGGAATCATGGAAAACAATAGCAGATACACAGTCGTCTCCCCTTAGACTGTACAAATTCCCGAAGCACGTCTCCATCGGCCGGACAAGATGGGACTTTTCTCCGCACATGGCGCCATATACGTTGTTACTGAGGATCCGTCTTGTCGGGATGATGCGAGATTTTGATGGGGTGAGTGAGGGGCCGTGGTCGGATACCGTGCGTATTCATGTTCAAGCGGAGAAGCCAGTCTCGACTCAATAATGGGGCGTGTTAAAGAACAATGCTATCCCAGCTAACAATTTCATGTTGTCACAACGTTATTCTGTGGACTCCCATTTACGTTGGTCACAACGTTGTGGCCTGACGTTGTGGTACGTCATTTTTACGTCGCCACAAGGTTAAAGTTAGTTCATGCTAACGTATTTAACGTTGTCTTAACGATCTATTTAACGTTAACAGTTTAATAGTTTTCCCAGTAGTGAACAGAACATACGAAACAAAGCAGAGATTCACTTCACTGTTTATTCGTCAATTTGCATGTTGTTTTGGTTCTGTTCTGAAGCTGTAGTTGAACAGTGAAGAAAGAATCTCAAAGTGAAAAAAGTTTTACAGACTATCGTGGCCCAAAGTTATAAGAAACGTTGTTATAACGTTGTGAGGAGCCCAAAGCATCACTTTTCCTGGACGTAAATTTGCAACGTTGTTACTACGTTGTGACATAACGTTATAAAATGACGTAACACTAACGTTGTGTCGTGACGGTACATATCTAAACCTCCCCACAGCGTAGCGAAAACCTGTAGCTGGAATATCAACTGTATAACAAATGCTGATCTCCGCTCATGGGAAGAAAATGTTGCATGTTGGTATGTGTTTGGATCTCCGATGAAAGAGATTACGTACTTGGGCTACAGGGTACATCGTCCACACGGAGAGTAGGTTGTGAACCAAAAGACGTTGAAAGATGATTGGAACCTGATCACGAGCATACTCGCCTTAACATGGCTGAAGTAACTGAAACGCACATAAAATATTCCAGAACGTTCTCCATGACAACATAATTCGCGATTCTACTCATTAGAGTGAGTGTGTGAGTAAGTTAAAATTTGACGTCATATCGGCAATATTTCAGCCAGATTGTGATGTAATCATTAGGAGAGTGGTGATGTCACTGAGAATCACACGGGTCGGAGTTCGAATCTCAAAAGGAATTATTTACGTATTCTCTTGATTTAGATGAGTTAGATGGAAACAGATGCGTTTGTTTTGAGTCTTAACGTATTTACATGGCCAGGACTAAAACCCTCCAAGTATCAAATATAGAATATATTCATTGTATCTCTGAGTTGAATTAAACTATGTTTCTGTTTTACTTGTAATTACCTCAAAATAACTGTCCGTTTTAACTGAAACGATACAGGTATTTGATTATTTTATGTTTTTGTATGTAATTTGTTTTCCTTGATCTTTCATTCTACACACTATATATCTGTTATAAAGCCAAATATTTGTTTTATTTATGTCATTGTTTTGATATTCCAACGAGGGGAGGATCTCATAAGTGAGTGTGTATGGTTTTACACCGCTTTTAGCAATATCCCAGCAATATCACGCCGGGGGACACCCGAAATGGGCTTCAGACATTGTACCCATGTTGGAATCGAACCCGGGTCTTCGGCGTTACGAACGAACGCTTAAAACCCCGCCGTGATGTTGCTGGAATTGTTGCTTAACACGGCGTAAAACCTCACTCACACACTCACTCTATCCAATTCAGGGGCAGGGGTGGTCCTGTCGTCACCTCAGTTTTCTCAGTTGCGTCCCTTTGATGCACCAGAAACCTATGATGGTGGGTTCCCGGTTTCCCCCCATTATGATTTAGTTTCTTCAACACCATACCCGTGTTTGTTGGTTTCACCGAAGTGGTGAACGACTGAGACCTGAATCACATCGGACGTTCATCTCCCATTTAACCGATACGCCGTGACACCTAAAGCCTGTAGTCAAATGAAAGATCGTTATTTGATCAGTTGTAAAAATATTCCAAAACCACATCATGCAAATCGGAAGATATCTGTTTGGTAGTATATTATACAGGCATATGCAACCTCTATATAATCTTAACAACAAAGAAATATTTATGAGGGTATACATGCAGTGGTGTTAAGGTGTGGTGTGGTGAGGTGAAATTGGGTTTAACGTCGTGCTTGGAAATATTTCGCTCATATGACGACGTGCATGCGTGTGTATGTGTATGTGCGGCTGCTTGTACTAGACCAGACTGAACTGGTTTTATAGTGCTAGCCAACTGAGATACCATGCCGCAGTGAAGAGGGTGGAGTGAATACCCCACTCAGACACATTATACTGACTCCGAGCCGACCAGTCCTTGTTGCGCCAGGCAGGGACCAACAAGTACCATATTTTAACGTCTTTAGGTATGACGCGGTCGGGGATTGAACCCGCGACCTTCCGCTCTCCGGGCCGACGTTCTAACCACTACACCACGGAGGCAGTCGCAATGGTGTTGAGAGACACCGCGGTGTCATGGTGAATGCCCTGAGATAGGCTGTTTACCAGACAGACTTCCAATAAGTAGCGTCCTGGCTCAGTCATGGCCATCTCTTCAAAAAATGACCTGAAAATATTAGGGGAGATGTCTCGTGCTCGAGGGTACTAGTTTCAGACTGGTGGGTACCATTCCAGACGTCTCTATGTAAATATTTTGAAAAGTTTAAAAACTGACCAAAAGGATCATCTTGATGTCTCATAGATGAAATTGTTTAACTATCTATAGGGTATAGATAAAATCTTCCGTTCAAATGTTTTTCCCATTGAAGCTAGGGACGGGTAGGCCAGTGGCTAGAGTGTTCGCAGTCTATCTGTCGCTGTAAAAGCCCCGTGTTAACCTTTTCGAGGCTGCACGATTACCTGTTCTGGTAAGCGACCCTCTGATTGGTCGGGTGAAAGGTCTTTCTGATGTGTCCTGTTATAGATTGCCCTCAGATCTTTATTTAGCCGGCATCGAGAACTATATATGATCTGATTTTAATGAGATTGCCAGTACTACTGCCACTACGATTACCACTTCCACCACCTGCTCCTGCTACTACTACTACTAGTTTTACAACTACTCCTTCTCCTCCTCCTGCTACTGCTACTGCTACTGCTACTGCTACTGCTACTACTACTACTACTGCTACTACTACTACTGCTACTGCTACTGCTACTGCTACTGCTACTGCTACTGCTAGTGCTACTGCTACTGCTACTGCTACTGCTACTGCTACTGCCACTACTACTACTGCTACTAGTACTACTACTACTACTACTACTACTACTACTGCTGCTGCTACTGCTGCTGCTGCTGCTGCTGCTGCTACTACTACTACTACTGCCACTGCTGCTACTGCTGCTGCTACTACTGCTGCTGCTACTGCTACTACTGCTGCTGCTGCTACTGCTACTGCTACTGCTGCTACTGCTACTGCTGCTACTGCTACTGCTGCTGCCTGCCACTGCTACTACTGCTGCTGCTGCTGCTGCTGCTGCTACTACTGCTGCTGCTGCTACTGCTGCTGCTGCTGCTACTACTGCTGCTACTGCTGCTGCTACTGCCACTGCACACTACCACTGCTGCCACTGCTACTACTACTACACTGCTACTGCTACTGCTGCTACTGCTGCTACTGCTGCTGCTGCTGCTACTGCTACTGCTACTGCTACTGCCACTGCCTACTACTGCTAATAGTACTACTACTGCTGCTACCACTGCTACTGCTGCTACTGCCTACTGCTACTGCTACTGCCACTACTACTACTACTACGGGACCGTTCATAATTTATGGCTAGGGGTGGGTCTGGTGGCGATGATTTTAAGGGATGGATGTGTTACCCATTTTGTTCTAGGTGGGGTGTAGGGGTGTGTGTGTGATAAATTTTGTACATGACATGCGGGGATGGATGTGGTATTGCTGTTTTTGTTGCTGGTGCTACTACTACTACTGTAACATTGTTACTACTACCACCGCGACCGCTGCTACTGCTGCTACTGCTACTGCTACTACTACTACTACTACTGCTACTACTACTACTACTACTACCAACACTGTCGCCGCTGCCACTACCAGTACTGCAATAATGCTGTAACTGCTACCACCGCGACCGCTGCTACCGCTGCTGCTGCTACTACTACTTCTACTGCTACTACTACTACTGCTACTGCTACTGCTACTGCTACTACTACTACTACTACTACTGCTACTACTACTACTACTACTACTGCTACTACTACTACTATCACTGCTACTACTACTACTACTACTACTGCTGCTACTACTACTACTACTGCTACTACTACTACTACTACTACTACTGCTACCACCGCCTGTAGTTACTAAGAAGAAAGACCAGTGTAGACCCTTTCTAAAACAAATATGTTCAAATCAGTTTAAGATGATAGGATTATCTTTGATTCACATAATGTTCGGATTCATTTTGCTAACTTCTTCAAAAGGATTTTTCTAGTTACATAGTTATATATGCATAAGATGTAACGGCAGGTGAAGCGCATTTCAGAACGCTGAGATAATAAACTAAACAATTACTAAGAATTCGATTAACTTTACACACATATGTATTGTGCTCTTCAAACATTCTAAATGTTCAACAAACGAAAACCAAACATGCTTCCCCCAAACAAATTAAAACCTGCAACCTCACTGTAAACTTCTGTACCGACCTCTGTTGATAATCATGATAAACCTACGCGAATTGTACACGTTTTAGACACTTTAAGATTTAGAATAGCCAGCCTGCTATTACTGCTGACACACAGACCATCTTTAAATTAACTTCATTGAATTCTCTGGAATGCGCCGAGTCTCACAATAGCGACTAACACGCCCGGCGTCAAGAATTCATTCCGTCAACAAAACTGGATACTTTAACTGCTTCAATTGCTTTACAAGGGATCGTAAATTAGGAAAAAGGTCTTAAGGGTTGATAAGAGTTCCGTAATTTATAGCTCCGTAGTTCATATCGATAAAGAGCCATTCACAAGGCCACGCCCACGTAGTATAAACATGGCCCCGTTAATGTGTCCGAGCAAAGAGCAGATTGTTACTGAATCTATAAGTGTGTTTATACACTAGATAAATACATGCAGCTGTATGATTGGTTAACATGGACATGGATTACTTACAAGGATGAGTATGTATATACAAAGGGGATTAATGGATAAGGTGGACGGCGATATATCATTCGTTTAGTCAAGTGGTGTTTTTTCCTCTAGATTGGTGTGGTCGATAATCGCGACGGTCGGGTGTGTGAGTATGGTTTTACGTCGCAATACTTTAGCAATATCACGACGGGGGACATCAGATATAGGCTTAACACATTGTACCCATGCGGGGAATCGAACCCGGGTCTAAAGCGAACACTTTAACCACTAGGCTACCGTACCGCCCCCGCGGCGTTCGAACTACGGTGAGTCCTATGTCTCGCGTTACAAGGATTCATAAAGTTTCTTTACTCATGTGACTATTTGTTAGGGGTAGAAATGAGACTTGAATGCAAATCGAGTGCACACTGATCCATTAACAGCGATAATGATGTAGCGCTTTGACCATGAGTTTCATCATCATCATCACCATCATCATCATTACCATCACCAACATGATGATGATCATTATCATCATTACCACCACCACCACCGTCGGCGTCGTCGTCATCATCATCATCATTATCATCATCATCATCATCATCATTACCACCAGCACCACCGTCGTCGTCGTCAACATCATACTTGTTTGTGAATTATTTTGTAATTATTGTCAATCTGGGGCTTTTGGTTATCTTTGAAACTTTTAAAGAATATTGTGTTGTTGCTTTTACTCCACTGTAATATTCAGGGCATTGATCGAATTCCACATTCATTATTAAACCACAGGGACATTACTGAACGTATTGTATTGAATTAATTGAATGAATTGAATTTATTAAATGTAAAACCGTCTATAGTATATATCAAAATTACCGGGAATGTATTAAGAACATTGCTTAATTGTGATATTTATCTCAAAGCAATATTTGTAAGTGTTTGATTGTATACCATACGGGATATAAGTTAATATTTCATTACAATGTAAGTAATTTCCGATTGTATACGTTCTTAAGGATGTTTGAGTCAACACAACATCTTCTATGGTTTTGTCAAACGGAAAATGAT